CTTTTCCAAACCTTCTCCTTCCCTGGGCTTTATGCTCATCCCCTGTCATCGTCCCCGCCCCTCCCCCCCAGAACATGGTGCTATTCTTTGGTTTTGAAAAGGGTCTTGCCTGGAGGCCTCATTTTGGATAATCAGATCATGTCAACTGGGAAGGATTTCAGTGGCCCCATTTGGCTCACACAGCCCCGTGCACGGCCAGTGGGCATATTTTCCTATTTGGGGGAATGATTGCTGGGCAAGTGCTTTGCTGCATAGACTGGTATTGGAGAGAGTATGCTGTGCCTGTCCTCCAGCCTTGCTTGCGAGGAGCCTGTCTGCCCCAGCTTTGTTATTTCCTCCCAATTGGCTGGGCCAGATGCTCCAGACACCGTTAATGAGATGCTGAAGTTTATGGCCGGGTGAAGGCATTTGAGTTCAAGGGGACACAACCCCACACGCGAGGAAGCTGGGGGTAAAGAGGCCACGGGAGCTGGCGGCTCTGCTTGACTCAACACCCAGCAAGCTTTTGGAATAGAAAGTGGTGCAAAGACTAATCATCAGTTTGGGACCCCTACAGCGATCTTTGCAAGCAAGGCTCTGAGGGACAGGTGGCAAATGGGCATTGATCAAAAGCCTTCGGAGTGCAGAGCTGTTTGTCTGCCAGACCAAGACTGGGGGGTGGCCAGGGGCTGGCAAAAGAAATCAGGTGTATCTCTGCCCTCAAGGAGCCCAAGGCTGGAATTAACTGAGAAGATGCTGCCAGCCAGCCCTCCTGACTTGCAGATGGAAACTGGGCTACATGCCTTTAGCATTCTCCCAAGACAGAAGATGCCAGGTTCTTTTTGCTTGAGTTGGAGGATGTGGACTTGGGTGGGAGTCTATAGACCTATAGCTTCTGGTCTTGGCTCTGCAACTGTGCGCTGCCTGCTTTGTGTTAGTGGCTGGGATACAGGCTTGTCCCATGTGTGGTGGGCACGAGCCACAGGAGAGCTGGACATTCACTCAGCGACCACATAAGTAAAAGCAGAATTCCAACGGGGATGCATTTTGTGAAGGAAAAGCAGATAGTGCAGGGAGGGCATGTAACCTGGAGATCTGACTGGGTCTGAGGATTGAAGACTGTGCCTCAATGGAAGCGATGCCTAAAGGAGGTCTCCACTAATAGTCAGGTTGGGGAACAGTGTTCCTGGCAGAAGGAACACATGTGCAAAGGTCCTGAGGTAGATGAGAATCCGGAATGGTCCAAAATCAGAAAGATGACCAGAGTGGCTAGAGTCAGAGGGTGACAAAGTGATGATAATACAAGAAGTTCTCCAGAGAGTGATCCTTGAGAGTCCCTTGAAGCTTTTGAAAGGAAACCTTCAAGAGTTTTTAAGCAGGGAGTGACATGATGCAATATATGCTTTTTAAAACTCACCTTGGTGCCTGGATGGAGAATAGATTATAAAGAATCAAAAGTGGGATAGGTTTATTCAACCATAAAAAGGAGTGAAGCTGGGGCGCCTGGGTGGCTCAGTGGGTTAAGCCTCTGCCTTTGGCTCAGGTCATGACTTTGGCTCAGGTCATGATCCCAGGGTCCTTTGATTGAGCCCCACATCGGGCTCTCTGCTCAGCAAGGAGCCTGCTTCCTCCTCCCTCTCTGCCTGCCTGTCTGCCTACTTGTGATCTCTGTGAAATAAATAAATAAAATCTTAGCCCCCAAAAAGGAGTGAAGTTTTGATACATTTTTACCACGTGGATGAACCTCAAAAACTTTAGGGTCAGTGAAAGAAGCCAGACGTGGAAGTTCGCATATTATATAATTCCATTTCTATGAAATATTCAGGATGGACGGATCTACAGAGACAGACGACAGGTTGGTAGTTGCCGGGGACTGGAGGGAAGGGCACGGAGAGGAATTGCTTAGCGGGTACAGGGTTTTATTTTGGGATGATGAAATATTTTGGAACTAGCTAGAGATGGTGTTTGTGTAATATCATGAATATATTTCAGGCCACTGAAGTTTTCACTTTAGTGTGGCTAATACATATGATGTGAAGTTTACCTTAATATAAATAAAAAGTACAGAAAATAAATATTAAGAAGCAAAAAAAAAAAAAAGTGGGATTGGGGGTCTGATTCAGGCACAGTGATGGTGGTGACAGCTGAAATGAGGGTGGAAAGTGGCTTGGACCAGAGCTGGAAGGCTGGAGACGGAGAGTAATGAACCAATTGTAGAAGTAAGGGTTCTCAGGACCCTTTTAGTTCAGATATAGTGTCTGCAAATTAGGCTTCAGGAAGGTCAGAAGAACTTTGCTAGATTCCAACCCTAGAATGAATAATCCTTTGCTGTACTTGGTGAAACAGCGTGCATTTTCCCTAAGCACAGATGAATGGCCCCTAAGCTGGGTGTCTTCCTGCCATGGATGTGCAGCCTTGGCTGAGCCCAGCTCTGGGGCTGCCCTCAGCACAGCCCCAGAGCCGAGTCAGGGACCTCTGACTTGCCCGCCTGTGCGGACAGCAGCATGGTCCATCCGGGGCTCATATGGCCTCCAAAGGATGGAGCTGCCTTTGCCGATGCTTTGTGCCCCCTTAGTTGGCTGCTTTCCCCAGAATTGGCCCCGATTCCAGGGAAGACATTTATGTAATAGATTTCTAATATCCTGCGATCATGGAAAGATGTTCTTTTTAATTACACCTGCAGGATATACTACAAAATAGGCACTGAATCTTACACAGTCACAGTCATTTGTGTCTGTTTTCTCCTCTGAGCATGCCGGGTAATGAGGGCAGATGGCAAAGGTGAATCCCGCATTCTGCCCATGAAGGCTTCCTCTGTGGGCAGGAAGTGATGTTTGATGTCCTGTCACCTACTCTGATCAAATGGCCATTCACCCCCGAATTTCTTTCTCCCACTCTCTTTTCCTCTGCTCTTTCTATCCTCCCATCCTCTTTTCCTTCTTTACTCTACCTCTCCATCCATCCACCCAACTTCTGTCCTTCAACCTTTTTATACATCTTTCTATCCATCCTCGGATCCCCCTCTTTATCCATTCATCCGTTTATCCATCCTTTGTCTATTTTCTCATCCATCCTTCCTCCCTTCTACCTTACCTACCTTCCTTCTTCCCTACCCTTCTTCCCTCCTATCTTCTTTCCATCCATCCGCGCATCCATCTATCCATCCTTCCATCCATCCATCTGTCCATCAAGCTTTTTACCCATGCATCTGTCCAACTCACATTTATTTATATATACCCCTTCTCTGCTTCATCTGTGGTCTTGAGTTCGTAAAGCAAATTGACGGTTCACCGTCACTGAGCTACTGTTAAACTTGTGCTGAGTTGGACTTGGTTCTCCTTATACAAGGGATCTGGCCTTGTCCTTTGATGGCCCAGTGCCTCAAGGCTGCCGTCAGTGTTTTGGAAATAATGATGGTATCTCTTGCCAGAGGGTATGACTGTATCCTATTCGTCTGCCAAGGATAGTGGTGGGTTGAGAGCTGCTGAAGGTTTCAGGTGAAAAACATGGCTCCGCTTCAACTTTTGGCTTCTTCCAGGTTAATTCCATGCTATACAGACACCGAGTTTAACCTGCTCATAGTGATGTTAATGACGGGTCACCCGAACCCGCGCTCAGTCCCCGGCCCTGTGCCAAGCATGTGATCTCATAGATCTGCCACGGCATCCTTCTTACATGGGTACTGTTATTTTCCCCATCTTCCAGGTGAGGAAACTGAGGCACAACGAGAAGAGATCACTTTGCTGAGGTCCCGATCAGGACCTGAGCTCTGCCCCTCCCCCCCGCCCCGTCCCCACAGTTGGCGAGTCTAACTCCAAAATTATCCTGCCTCGGTGTAGATGCCTCTTTGAATCTCCACCGCGGGAGACTTGTGGGATGAAATGCCACGCCCTTGTTTCCCTCTCCTCTGCAGCCGTGGGCAGGGAGAGCCAGCTAACGCATGCGGCTCTAATGGGAAGTGCCTTCCTGGGCCTTGCTGCAGACCCCTAGGGATATAATAAGCAGGGCTGCCAGCCGAAGCCCTGGGAGGGAGAGACTCTGCAGGTGCGCTTGGATTCCTTAAAGCTGATGAGCAGCGGGCCTCCTGAGGAGGGTGACTTTTAGGCTGCGTGTGTGGGAGGCCTCCAGTCTTTAATTGAGGCACCTTCCTGGGCTCTCCATCGAGAGGGGACAGAGTTTGCAAGGAGGGTTCGGTCTGGCCACAAGGTGGCGCCCAACTCCGGGCCAGCCGCGAATGGGGCGGTGGGGGGAGGCGGGGGAGGGGCCAGAGTGGCTAATTTGGGATCCTCTTCTAAATCACACTCTCTTAAACTGATCACCCAAGCGGGGGGAGGGGGAAGCGCTTCCAAAGCAGCTCCAGCGGATCATTCCATTCAGCTGGTGCCAAGCCAGGGGCTGAGGGAGTCAGCAACGAAAGCCACGGGGTTCCTGCCCTCGAGGAATTAGAGTGCAGCGGGACTACGTGCCAGTCATGACCCAGACTGGGCGTCTAATAAGCTTTTAATGAGCACCGACCGTGTGCCAAGTTCTGTGCTAACTGCCCAGGATAGGGAAATGAACAGTACTGAATCATTGCCCTCGAAGACCCATAGTTCACTTGGGAGACAAAAACTAAAAGAACAAATTTGGGAAATTAGGGAAGTACAGCCCCAGGGATACACTCAGAAGGTTGTAGACACATTGAAGAGGACCACCCAGTTCAGGCGGGGAGGGAAGGGAGTATCAGGGAAGCCTTGCTGGAGGAGGGGACACCAGAGTGGAGGCAGAGAAGACAGATTAAGCCGGCAGGGAAGGGGAGGCTTTTCCGGGCTGTGGAGATAGCAGGAGCAAAGGGTTGCAAGTGAGAAACAGCACAGAGCCCTGGCTGGAGCTCAGGAAAGGGGGTATGGAGCAGCCCCAGTAGGCCAGTTCAGTGTGGGGAGCGGACACTGGCGCCATGTTAATGAGATTGGGTCTGCAGGCTCTTCTTCTGTGTGCACTTATGGATACGCTCCCTTCTCTTCTTCTTCTGTCTCTTTCAGAGCCAAGAAGAAAAGCAAACCTTTGAACCTCAAGATTCACAGCAGCGTGGGCAGCTGCGAGAATATTCCTTCGCAGCAACGCTCCCCCCTCCTGTCGGAGCGCTCCCTCCGCTCCTTCTTTGTGGGACATGCGCCTTTCCTGCCCTCCACCCCTCCTGTCCACACCGAGGCCAACTTCTCCGCAAGTAAGTCACCTGCCGGGCCGCTGCACCTTCTCATCCGCCAGGTGCACGCTCCCTGTTCTCTCTTGAGAAATGCTCATGAAATGCTTTGAACAAGGCTCACTCGCCTCCCACCTGCGCCACTCCCGCCCCTTGGCATGGTTTTGAAGGGAAGGGGCGTCATTAGCGCGGGGAGGTTGACTGGCTGTTGTCATTGGTCCCGCATCCCTACTCTTTTTTGCCTGCAGGTGTGGAGGGATGACAGAGGGAAGCAGGCAGGCAGGGCATGAAAGGCAACATCAGCTTTTTCTCTCTGCTTCTCAGCTGCCCGGTCCTAGGATTTTTCTTGGGCCGCTGCGGATCAGCATCTATGATTAAATTTTGTAATTCCCACCCCCCTCAACTCAGGTCAACACGTATCACCTTTCATTTCAGAGATGTATGTGGGTTCAAACTGGGCTGAGCGTGGCCTGGGGTGTTTTACATTCTGCTCCCACGAATTTCTGCTGGAGACAAAGTGGTTATTACTTGGAGCGGAAATGGAACTTTCTGGTGATCAAGGGCTGAGGTTTCAGAAGGCATTTCATCTTCTCTGCCCAGAGGCCCGTTTTGCTGAACAGGCACAGATGCAGTCAGAGGGGAGCCCCTGAAAAAAGCCCAACCGGTCCTGTAGCTCAGACACTGGCTCTTACGGACTGGGAATTCATGAGGAGGGGTGTGCTGCTGGAACGGGAGGGAAATAACTCGGGGCCCCAACACAGCCCCCGGGGCGATGATGCCGCTGTTCTGATTAATGATAAGCAATGTTTACTGAACACCTGGTCATGCCTTTCACCCACACACACAACCTCGTTTGGTTTTTACGACAAGCCATTGTGCGGATGAGTGAGTCCTATTGTATAGATGAGCAAACAGAGGCTCAGGGATATCAAAGAACTTGGCAAACTCACGCAGCTGTTGAGTCCTTGAGCCAGGGTTTGAAGGTGGTTCCCCCTGACTCTGGAAATGGGTACGCTTCGCCATCACACATGATTTGAGCCGAGATCCCTCAACTTTCATCCGGGCGCCTTTCTCTGGAGGTAGGGTTCTATTCTGTTATTTACATGGGGCTTTTTGAACTTTTTTCGGGAGGCTGTGGACCCTTGGAGAATTTCATGAAATCCGTTATTTCTCTCTCTGGGAAAATGCACACAAAACCTCCAATCCGGTGTCTAGTGTCCAGACTGTTGGGCTCGGAGCTGTCGTAGCCCCCCGGATGGTTGGCCCCGGGCGGAATGGTGAAGTCGGTCCACACGTGTGCAGTGTGTCCCCCGTAGGAGTCTGCTGAGGGCCCAGAACCAGAAGAGACCTGTGTGCACGTCAGTTAGGAGAAATTCCAGAGCCTGGCTGGTCTCACTGCCCAGGGGGCACAGGCCCTGGATTAAGCAAACGAAAATAGCATTCCTGACACATAGCAGCACCGGAAGGCCAACTTATTAATTTTTATTAATTCCATTAATTAATTTAATTAATTAATTAATTAATTTGTCGAGAGAAATCACTGTCAGAGAGACCAGAACTCCTCAGTGGGGGTGGGCCTGTGTGGCAGTGTGAGGGTGTCCTGGGAGCCTAGATAAGGACCAGTGGGGTGATGATGTAGCAAATGTGTCATAGCAGCGGGCGAGACAGGATGTCACGGCCCAGGAGGGTGATGCTGGGGGCCAGTCCCAGTTCTGTGTCCTTTGGAGCAGTGTGCCTGACCCCGAGCAAGTACAGAGCCCTTCTGAGCCTCAGTTTGTTCATCTGTAAAATGGGCTCACAGTAGACACCCTCCATAGGTGGTTATGAGGATTAGATCGGCTCCTGTGTGTCAAGTCACCTGCACAAGGCCTGGTGCATAGTAGTTGCTTTATACACGGTGGCTGTTGTGGCAATGTTAATCAGCTCCTTTTCCCCAGCAGTATTTGTATCGTCTGACTTTCTGATTAATTTGAGGGCTGTGGGTGAATGCCTTTCAGTTAACTGCTCCCCACCCTGCCATGATTCCCCATGGCCCTAAGAGTACTTGGAATTTACCTTGGCAGGAGCCCGGGTGGCTGCCTCCAGCAGCCATTTATCTCTGGGTATCATCATCCCTGGGGGCTGGCCCACAGCTCTGCCCTTTAGCTCTGTCCAGGATAAAAACATCTTCAGCTTGCTCAAAAAAACCACCAATGTGCCCATTTTGACCCTTTCTCTCCTGCCAGAAAGTTTTATGAGGACTCACCGTGGCTCCCAACTTTTCCTGCCTGCCCTGGTCTCCATGGGAGAGGAGAGGTTTCTCCTCTTGCCTGTGGCCAGGGGCAAAGTCCTTAATGAAATCAGTCCTTAGCGCTAAGAGGCCAGAGAAGCACAGTTGCCTCTTTGGGATGTCCTGGTCCTTGGAGGCAGAGAGGTCGCCCTCTGGTCTACCATAAGGAAGGAAAGTCAACATTTGGGTCTCAGTAGGAGGACGAGGGTGTCGCCAAATGTTAGCTGGAATCCCATGGACCAGTCCCATTTCCATTGATCCTAACAAATGACAGAAACAGGGGGCAGCCCTGAGAATAGGTTCCAGGTTAGGAAACGAGAAGCTCTCTGTTAGAGTCTCCGTGATACCACCAATTGCTTGTGTGACCTCTGTCCCTGCCTCGTCACAGTTAAAGCTTGCCACAAACGTAGAGGCAGGCTTTCTAATTCCCATTCCATAGATAAGGAAACGGAGACTCAAAAGGGGGAATGATCTTGCCCACATGGTACATTTTGAATCCCAATCCAACTCTAGCCTGCATCCCTGTTCTTTGGTGAAGCAAATTCCTTTCTCTGGGTCTCAGTTTCCCCAACTGCATAATAAAAGACTCCACAAGGGTCCGGTCCGGAGCTTAGGAACTCGGTGATTCTAAGGCTAAGCCAGTGAGCTTTACCTGGGCAAATCTTTTGACCACTTAGAGTGCGGGTTTGAGGACTCTGGGCTGGAATGGTTGGGAGGACACAGGGGTCAGTCTCTGGTCCTCTCTTGCTTGTATTAGTCCTGTTCTCCCCCTATTCTGAGCTTCAGAAGAGACCTTTCTGCCTTTGGGTCCCAGTGCCAGCCTTCCTCCCTCTAACCCAGCTGAGGGAGCCCCTGATGCGTGTCCCTGCGAGGCAGAGGCTGTCAACCCCTTTGTCACCGTCAGTTCTGGCCATGGCTGATGTGAAGAGTGGTGATCTGCCATCTCGTTACCCCCGCTGGGGATGCCTGCTGGGGATGCCTGGGGACAGCATTAGACAGATCTGGCTGTAGAGTGTTCAAGGCTCAGACCCGATGGGCCACGAGAAGGACTTCACCTCCTTGGGCTTTCCCTATGTCCCTGGTCTGGGAGTGATGAGCAGGGCAAAGGAGAGGAGAGTCAGGAGCCCCAGCTTACAGAGGAACCTTCTCGAAGGCTAACCACGGACAAAACACAATTTGTTAAACCCTTCTGCTCTACGTGGAAGGTGGTGACTCAGGAGGGAACCTACCTCCCAAAGAAGTAGAGAACAATGGACTGAGCTCCCCACGCTCGCTGCATTTATTCTCTGTTTCGCTGGGGCATGCCACGTGGCCCAGATGGTGTCTGATAGGATGCCCTCTACCCATGGACCAATTTGGGTCCAACCAGCTGTGTGCTGGTGGCTCCATGTAGGGTATCAGGCGGCCACTGTATTTCCCAGTAAAGAGTCTTCTTGGGAATGAAAAACATACTGTCTAGATGGGAAGGAGTGATGACTCCTCATCATTCATTAGTGGCTGGTGGAGGTGATTTGGGGAATATAGCAACTGAGCGGTTGCTGACATATCGTTGGGCACTCGCTGAACCCTCTGTGTCTGTTTCAACCTGGCGAGCGTTTAGTGAAGGCAAAATGAGGAATGGGTGTAAGTTTCCCAGCGCAGGGGCTGGTGCTTAGAGCACTAAGTCTCAATAAAGAGTAGGTTTGGCAACTCTTCTGCTTGTCCTATGGTAGGATCGCTTGTAACAATGATTGCAAATGACGATAATAATGGCAATTGGCATTTATTGTGCGTTGACAAGGTTGCGGGTGCCGTTCATTCAGACAAAGCAATTTACTTGTATTATATAAGCTTCCCGGTTCTCCATCAGGTAGTTTATCTTCTTATCCCCATTTTGCCAATGAGGAAACTGAGGCTGGGAGGGTTTGGGTAGCTGGCCCGAGATCACAAGGGCAGGTAGGAAGCAGAGTTTGCGCTCGTCCTGAATCTCCCGTTCTGTAATGCTGAGGGACGCAGCTGTCACGCTGTCTTGGCTGAGACCCCTCTGTTCAAGTAGGGACCCTAACTTGTCCCAGTTTCCCTCCTCACACCCTGGCCTCATTGGGGGGTTGTGTTGTGGGGGTCAGCCTTGCTCCAAGGATGCCTCCTGTTTATTGGCATGCTGTGCTCAGTCAGAAAGCAGCCCCCACACGGGCTGGCAAATTGTCACCTTGCCAGACTCTGGTTGTTGATATGCAGGGGATCCATTGTCCCAGGTGGTAGCTGTGCTGGGGTGGGGTGGGGGGTGGGGGCGGCTAGGCAGCTGCAGAGAACGGACAGAAGAATAAGTTGCAGACAGCTTCTGCAATTCATTTTTCCTGGACATCTTTGATAGAAGATGAGGAATGACAGGCTACTTTTTACCACCTGCACGGTTCTGGGTGTTTTTTTTTTGTTTTGTTTTGTTTTTTTATTAGCTGTCTCTGGGGGTCTAGGACTTCAGGGCTGTAGCTAGCAAAGGGAAAAGGTGACTGATGATTCCCAGACGGCCCCTTCTTGGTCCTAATGGCCCCAGCCGGAGTTTTATACAGGGCCCCAGTCTTAGAAAATATTGTCCTTCACGGTGCGCCTTGAAAGATGGCATGCCCTCTCCTTGCCCTGTCTCACCGTGCGCTCTCCTCATCTCCTCGCTGAGCATTTCCCGGTGCTTTTTCTTGGACCCAAGGCAACAAAGAGTTGACCCTCCATTGAGGGCCCGGCCCCGTGTGCCTCGAGGCTGAGTCAGAAGGCTGATTTG